TGAAAGATATGAAACGACACAAGCCCTATTGACATGTAAACACAAAGATGGAAATTTTGTATGTGCGCATGTTTTTAAAATGAAATCATACATTGACAAATTGGAAAAAATGGGTCTCGTATTCCCAAAGGAGCAAGCTATTGATTTGGTTCTTATTTCGCTTCCTAAGTCATATGGTTAGTTCGTTAAGAACTTTCATATGAGGAATCCTGATGTGAACCTAACTGATCTGACCGTGATGTTAATAGTTGCTGAAGCAGAAATGCTTAAGAACACAACTAAAACAGAAATGCTTTTAGGGTTAGTCCCAGGTTTCCATGGACATTGACAAAGGTAACCTTTGTAATCAAGAAAAGGCTTTTCTTCCTAATCAAAAGGGATCGGCCAAGGTTAAACCATTTGATCGTATGATAAAGAGAAAGGTTGATTCTAAGATTATTCCATATGTTGACCCCAATGAGTCCATTTGTTTCTATTGCCAATTGAAGGGACAATGGAAGCAAAGCTGCCAAATATACTTGGAAGATCTTAAAGATGGTAAAGTCAATTCGTGTAATTCTACTTCGCGTACATCCATTATAAGTTCCTATTCATAGACTCTTAATACATGTTGTGATGATCACATTTTTATGGTATTGCAGGATCTAAAAGAAAAAAAAGGAAGCTTGAGTAAAGTGAGCTAAATATGATCGTGAGAGATGGACGTTTGTCACATGGTTTGATGGTCAAAATTTGGAGTTACTACTAAGGAGTTAGGATAGTTTTAATAGATTGCTATTACTCTTCGGAGATGTCTGGAAATATAATTTGAGATATTATACATTGTAATGACAAGTTCCAATTTTCTTTTTAGCAATAAAATGAAGTTTTGGTTTAAGAAGTTGCCTTATTTATATTTCCTTCCTTTATCATTGATAAGTGTGTTGATTATTTTTTAATAATAGCAATATTAATTGTGGATCTGATTCTTATGATATCACGCTTATGGTACTGTCAGATTTGACCAAGTGTAAAGAAATCTCTTCACTAAGTTTCAATTGCACATAAAATTGGAGTTATACAATTCAAATTGCAAGATGCATAAGAATCTTATTCATTGGAAAATTATAACTGATTCATTGTTCACATTTATATGTGTGACAAGTGAAGGACTAATGGATCTAGTACATGTTGTTATGGAATCTTTAGATCCACCACAAGGGACGATGACTCTATTCGTCATGATTTACTGATGCTTCAATAAATATGATTATGTTTATAAGATGAAGCAGAATTCTAATACTTTTGAAAGGGTTCAAAGAGTAACAGAACGATTAGAAGAATCTGTTAGGCAGAAAGATAAAAGATTCTCCAATCTGAAAAGAAATTAGAGTAGTTTAGTATCATGTTTTATGATCATCTTGGTAATTGTGAAATTGTATCACGATTAATCATCAAAGAACATAATAGTGCAATTGCATGACTAAGAAAAGAAGTCGCACATTGTTGGAAATGGTTCGATCAAAGATGAGTCATACTTTGTGCCAATCAAGTTTTAGAGCCATGAATCATATCTTGAAACTCATTTCAAACTAAGAAGGTTAAGAACACCTCGTAATATGTGGAGTAATAATGTATTCTTACTCTAGCACATTTAGAATTTGAGTTGTGATGTTTTCGTTAATCGAGAAACAAAAGATAAATTGAGACCAATTCTATAAAGTGTTTTCTTGTCCAAAATTCACACGAACTTTTGAATATTTGTTTTAGCTCGTCAAGGAATGTTACTTGAGAGAAAACTCATATATCAAGAAATCAGTGTGAGTCATATTGATCTTAAGAGTTGCAAGAATCAGACGACAATGATCTTTTTAGTTATCACTAATGCACGACCTAAGGTTGATAACCTGTTGTGTTCTTCAGTTGACATATTCTTTTTTCTGTGCATTTTTAGTTAAGTTAGCAATGCATTTGATTTCTATGTTTTTCATTTAAATGCAAAAGCAAAGCGCATTGGTAAGTGAAAGTACACTAATCAATATGGGTGAGCTACTAACAATATGGAAGCACTAGTAGGCCGTTGAGCTTCCATAATGCAAGAGATAAAGAATAGCGAAGTTTTGTCCATGAAGGAAACTAAGTCTGAATTTGGTTTTTCCTAAACCTAGTCTTGTAACTGTATGTTGGAAATGATAGATTCACATAGATGGGAACGTATGCACCATCAAATCTAGGTAGCAAAGGTTTATCTTTAATTCATGAAAATGATTATGAAGAAATATTTCCGTTGATAGATTGTAAAGATCTGATAAATATCATATGGAGATTGGTTGTGTCAATTGCATTATCAAATTCAAAGTATGATTACGGCATCCCTCTTCGTATTCCAAATTATGAGGAATAGAAAGAAATTGTTTGAACTTCCAAGGGAGGTATCTATCAGTCTTGAAAAAGGTTTAAACACACACACACACACAAACACACATTATCCAACTAAGTGTATAAGGTTAAGAAGTCTAGTTGAAGACTTATCGAAACAACGCATAATAGAAATCTGCATTTCTGTAAGAAATTCAAAGGGTATTGATTTCTAGAAGTCAAGTTGATTTCGGCGTACATGTCAAAGCTAGTGGGAGCATAATTGTTATGCCAATATCACATGTTGACAATAATGCTCGTAGGAAACAGTGTCTCTATTTTTGAAAATTGAAAAGTTCGAAAAATGTTCCACTATAGTGGACTTAAGGGGAAGGGCACTTGTAGCATCCCCATTTTCACAGCCAGAAAATACTGAATTAGTTATGCTTATTTTATTTTAGAGTGTTTTTTTTACAAAATTATAATCTGTAATTTGTTCCCAATAGTGAAAACATTATTAACTTCCGAAGAAATGCATTTCATTAATACTTTTGGGATGTCATCGTCTGAACAGAAACATAAGCATAACGAAAATATTACAGGTCTTACAATAGTTAATTATATTATTTCCTACAATTATCCATAAGTCACTCAACATCATTGGGCCTTCGTGTCACTACCTGTGATACAAAGAAACTGAGTAGGTCAGGCTTGGGAGCCTGGTGAGCACGTAGGTTTTTCAACCCATAATAATTAAGTTCTTTAATTATATATTTCACATCAAATAATTTACCCTCTTACCTATTCCTATTATTTTCACATAATGATCCTAATATACTTATCTCAAGGGACCTATCCTAAGGATCATCATTGTCAACGGGTAGAAAATACTGCTAGGGGGATTCCCATAGCAATAAATGTCCATAAGGAAACTATAGGGGATAGAGTACATCAATGAACTTATAGTTCACTAACACCTACAGGTTGCGATCCTGCCTGCGTTCTACTGGACTGCCTAGAGTAATCTGTGGTCGTCATCTATACTCTGCTAGATGACTGGTTCATCAAAAGTCAAGTCCTCTCATCATCCTCTCATCATTTTCAACACTCATTACTACGCAACATAGTTTATATAAATATATAAGAAAATACATATATGATTAATCAAGTAAAATCATATAATTTATGTAACATAGATATCAAGTAATTTGGATAATAGGCACACATAACATTTAATCATCTAGATACTTTATATCTATGTGTAAGCTGAAAGTAATTATGCACTCACTTGATAAAGTGAATGATTGGAAAGTTGGGCAGTGCTTCGCTTCAGCACTAAGACTTTCCTTTGATGTGAACCACTATAACTATCACTAAGTCTTAGTCAAATAATCCTTATGACTAAAGATAGTCTAGATTCCTCAATAATCCCGATGTAACACACTTGTTTCGACTCATTTCATAATTCAGGATCGTGACCCGAAGATCAAGTATCATAAGGCTTCGGGCTTTACGTAAAGAGAGGTTTATACCCATTTGGACGTGGGTAATGTAGATTATGTGATCCAAGAGTTCGGTTTGTGCTTTGGAGCCCAAGGGTATAATGGTAAAAGTGATACTTCAGACCTTTCATGAATTAAGGATTTCAGTTCAAGGTGTTTTAAGTCAAAAGTAATTAGATAGGGTGGTAGATCTCTTCAATACCTTTTCGTGGACCTATAGATCGTCGAAATCGGAGTCAAAACAAAGAAGTTATGGCCTTGGGAAGTTAGAATTATTAAGGGCTTGTCGAGTACGCTGGGCGTACAAGGGATGTATGTTGGGGGTACTTGGCTGGAGTGATCGCGAAGATTCCTTCGCGTATGTTGGGCGTACCAGATGTAATTTGGGCATACGCGACTCAGACTCAAACCCTAATTTCGGGTCTTGGACGCTGATGACATGCCCCTCAAAGCGGACCAGGAATAAAGGTAGTCCTAAGTTAGGGATCTCCAGTGAGGCCCGGACAGGCCCAACATGGCCGCCCCAGCAGATCCCCAGCATGGCCGCCCCAACGGATCCCCAGCTACTAGACGCTCCAGCGTATCCCCAGCTGCTAAGCGCCCCATTGGGACGGCCGCGTGGAAGGTCCAACCCCACCAAGAGGCACCTTCCACTACAGGACAAGGATAACGGCTCCAGGCGACAATGAGCACATCCAGAGCATTATCGCCTGGACCAATCGTTGGACCTGACACAACGAGGAACACAACTCACCAATAAGGACAACAGATCTTGTCGGGACTATAATACTTGTTCCTCGTACGGACCGAAGAGGATCCTCAGTATAAAAGGACCACCACTTCGCCTTGAAGGGTAAGTTATCTCTCCCGATTCTCAGCCCTTACTCTCCAATACACTACTAACTTGACCGTCAGAGCGTTTTACCGGGACCTCCTCCCGGAGAACGGCTGACGACTTTCTCTCTTTGTGACCTCTCAGGTTCCTCTCCGACAAACTCATCCTTCACCATCCAGGTGGTCGGAGACCAGGTCACATCATTTGGCACCGTCCGATTGTCTGACAATAGATATGCAAACCCATTTTCCTTTTTAACCCAGTAACAAATGATGAACGAAGCCGCCGGCGAGCCGTCGGAAACACCACAAAGCCCGATATGACCAATGATCTCACTGGAGACGGCCAACACCCCGATAACACCACCAGCTCAGACAACTGGCGTAGTTTTTGAGACACCATCATCCGGGGGCCCGGGTCCTTCTCTCACAGCGGCTACACCTTTTGTCACAACCCAGAACCACATACCAATACCCACTCCGAACAGCACAACCCCGCTGTTGTTCCCCAACATCGGCGGACCCAACCCATTCACTCCGCCTCATCTACCATTGTTTTTTCCTAACATCGGCGAACCAAGTAACGCCGGTTACAGTCTAATACCGCCACCCATTCACGCCACAAACGATCCTCAACAAACGACACTCGTAACACCACCATTAACGGTGCAAGCCACTAAAGGACTACCCCCGTTCATGCTCACGTCCGCAACCCCGGTGAATAACGCCGCTAGTGGCCCAGGTGTTGCTTTCCAAGCACAAAGCTACCCAACATTAGTGACATGAGCCATGCCGACATCGCCATTCACACCATAACAGCAACTCCCCATTCCCCATACGTTTCCACCCCGTTCCAGCCATAGAACTTCTATGGCCCAACACCACCAGACCTTGCAGCTTACAACGACATGCTGGTACAGCCATTCCCGGCAATGAAACAGCTGAGATACCATTTTGCTCAACGGACACCAAACCAAGACTGCCTCTCGCGCAGTGTCACATCACCGTTCATGAAAGCATTGCAAGAGTACGGGATTCCCAACACTGCCAAGCTACCCCACCTAAAAACGTATGACGACACCACAGACCCAGACAGCCACATCGACACATACGAGTGGACGATAACATCTCTCAAGCTCGACGAACGCTTCTGGTGCACGTACTTCCCTACCACTCTAGACGGCAACGCAGGGACATGGTTCAAAACGTTGCACCCTTGTAGCATCTGCAACTTTAGCCAGCTGAAATACCTCTTTTTAACCAACTTCATGCAGCTCCGTAAGTACAAAGGCGATTGTCACTCTATTATTGTGTGTAAGCAAAGGGACAGGGAAATTGTCAAGGACTACTTCGCTAGGTTCACCAAATCAACATTAGACGTGCCGAGACATGACGAAGGATTGATCGCAGGTGCATTCACGTGGGGATTACTTCTCCGTTCGCTCTCCCTGAAGCTCATGGGCAAACAACCTCATACGAGAGCAGAGTTAAAATAGCGAGTGGAGCGTTTCCTATGCCAAGAAGAAGGTGAAGCATCAAAGCAAGCATACGTCAACGCCATGTCCTCCCCGGCTGGGAAACGACACCACCAATCAACCTCCTACCATGATCCACGGGGAGAGGGTAGATTTTCAGGACGGGACAGGCGACCACATGGACGATTCAGACCCTTCGCAAGGGACGACAGGCAAGGAAGACGAGCAGAAGTTTATACCGTCGCCGAAAAACCAACAGCAAAAGGTACCAAGACGTGATATTGTGAATACCACAAGAGTAGGACACATGAGACGGTCAACTTCTCAGAGTTAAAACGGGAGATAGAAGAGAAGTGGCTGAAGGGAAACGTGATAGAGATCGCCAAAAGTCTACCAGCTAAATTTGACGTGGAAAACCCTAAAGACAACGCAAGAGGAGCAGACTATCGACAAGAAATCCTCATGATTCGCCACAAGCGGGGGAGAGTGGAATGTGCAACCAGCGTGCGAAGCATCGCGTAAACCATGCAAGGGATAACTTTCTCCACGACTGACCCAAGCCCAGCTAGATGGAAAGGAGATAACCCTCTCGTTATCCAGTATTCCATTCGAGACACCATGATCCACCGGGTGTACATTGACACGGGGAGCTCTGCGAACATCATCTACGAGTATTGTTTTTGGTTGTTGCTTGTCGCATGGAAGGATGGATTAAGACTAGCCGCAGGCCAGCTCACAGGATTCACATGACACAGTCTGTGGCCCCTAGGTACGATCCACTTACCGTTCACACTCACCAGTCAAGACAAGACAAGCGACAGACCGCCCTTGTAGACTTCGTAGTCATACGACACCCATCCGAACACAATGTCATACTTGGGCGAACCGCCCTACTGAAATTCGAAGCAATCTCATCAATGATTCATGGAATAGTAAAGTTTAGCACAAGCCAAGGCCCAGGGACAATCCTAGCCACACCCCCAAGGGAGCTCAAATGCTACGAGATTATGCAACGAAAGGAAATTTTAATGGAGGCCAAGAGGCCAAAGCCGGATTCATCATGCGGGGAGAGGTAATCAACAAGTAATACCCAAGCCAACAAGTAAATGTGGGAACCGCCCTTCCCACAGCAACAAGGCAAGCACTGATCCGATTGCTACAAAAATACAAACACGTATTCGCCTGGACACCCACAGACATGGTAGGGGTCGACCGGGGGATCATAGAACATAAGTTGATGATAAAACTAGGGGGCAAAGAAGTAAAACAAAAGAAGCGCGTCCAGGGAGGGGATCGAAACAAGGCAATTAATGCAGAAGTGGCTAAATTGACCAGCGCTGGGATCCTTAGGGAAGCATTTTTCCCAACGTGGATCGCCAACCTGGTAATGGTGAAGAAGCACGATGGAAGTTGGCACATGTGTATCGATTACTCGGACATCAATAAGGAATGTCCGAAAGACTGCTACTGTCACACCCCCAAACCAGACGGCGGAAACGTCCGGGGGTGGAGGACTTCAATTGTAGTATCACAACACATGCATCATAGTAATCAAAGTACAAACAACCATTGTATTCAAAAGGTATAAGTATTTACATGTGTTCAATCATTGTATATTGAACCAAAATATAGTTATACAAAAGATATGACTCAACATAGCTCCATCTTCTCAAAAAGCTCGGGGAGTACCTGTGTATTATTTCCCTGAGAATACAAGTAATTTGAAAAGAGAGTATCAACATAAAGTTGAGTGAGTGCATAAGTGTTTATGTTTAAAGGATGTCTCTGTATCTTGTATATGTAATTTGTTCCAGAAAACCCTATATTTTCTGTTGTATATGAAAAGTAGTTTTATTCCCATAAAACCGTTCTCTGTGTATTAATGTTTTGTATTTGTATTCCTTTATGAAAACTTGTAACTGAGAGTGTGCCTGGCTCCACCAGCTGTTATTGAAAACTGTATTGAACCCTTGTATTTTGTATTATGTAAACTGGTACTTTGAAGGTGTACTTTCTCTTAGTTATTTATACACTAACGTATTGTTAATATCTTTTAATGACTTATTATAACCATACTATGACGGATGGCCTGAAACAAATGCTTTGTGGGCGTTTAAACTGGTGATAACAATTGCCACTCATCGGCATGTAAGCCTGACTGTAGCTAGCAGCCTGAGTGTGGGGTTGTCAATCCCGATATAGATCTACACACACTTGTTTCGATCCCCGGCTGGAGATTCTGGTTATAATGTCAGGACTTTTCCTATGTTGTCTAAAATGAATTAAACAACCTGAATTGAATGTCTCATAAAAAGCATATAAACGTTTCATATATATTAGTTATGAAAACCCAATCACTCTGAAATAAATGATTGACAGTATGTTCTTGAATCAAAACCCAATCATTCTGAAATAAATGATTGACAGTATGTTCTCGAATTAGAATTTCTAACATGTATTTGATAAGTGTAAACCCTTGATTTGTTCTGTATCAAAACCCTTGTTTCTTGTAAGACGGTGTATTCTAGTATACTTGAATCATGAATTATTGTTATATGAATAAATTATACCTATTATAATTTATATGTACTTTCTGAATGTGTATTTAACCATGTTTGCATGTAATCCCTTGCTCAGCATGTTACAAAGGTAGTTAAACTGATGAAATAACTATTATATTTATATACATATACAATTTTATATATAAGTAAAATTTAAACGACACTTGGACAAATAACCGGTACTATAAGCCCACATCCAAACAAGGAAAAGGACCCGGAATGAGTTATGAGTCCTAAGCCTTTTAAATCTTAGTTATATATATATATATATATATATATATATATATATATATATATATATATATATATATATATATATATATATATATATATATATACAAACAAGAATTTTGGGGAAAAATATAAGATGATAAAAGAGTTTTAATGTTTTGAGTATTTTTAATGATTTAATGTCGTTTTATCATGATTTGAAATCATGATTTTATAACACAAAGTTCTTGTGTTATGCTTGTATTCCCCCCCTTAAAACAGTAGAAATTATGAGAATACGGGGGTATGTACCCACTTGATAGGTGGTGAATCGGACAGAGTTTCGTTTCACGAAAAGGAGTTTATTTGTCGAGAAACCGGCTCAAATCGGGCAGAGTTTCGACAGGAGAGAGGTTACTTCTAGGGAATCTCGGGGCTTCGAGGCTTACTTAGGGTTCAAGACTTGATATCGGGGCTTTAGGGGTTGTGTATAAGTTTAGACAAAATTGTAAGAATGGTCCCTGTGGTTAGGTCGAAATTGCCACTTTGGGCCAAACATGTTTGGACTAGCACTCATGGTCCAAAGGTTTTCATTTTCTTGCCACTTTGGTCCAATTTACTTTAATTTTTTTTGTAATGACCATTTTGCCCTTTGTTTTTACTTTTTTAGTTTTTTTAATTTATTTAAATTGTTTTATAATTAAAAGAAAAATAAAAAAGAGAATCTCTCTCTCTCTTTCTCTCTCTCTCTCTCTCTCTCTCTCTCTCTCTCCTGATATACACACCTTCTCTATCCAGATGAACACAAAAACAATAAATCTAACATACAAGACACATACAAAATAAGAATTTCCTAAATCCTAAACTTGTAACAATGAAGAGATCGAGTTCATGGTTTAGAATGGAATCCGAGATAAACACAAATTGCCACCTGAACAAATGAAGTCTCTCCTTCTCCGTCTTCAAGATCTGATAAGGTCTGATGAATCCAGTTAAGCATTCTTTTACCTCATCTGCAATCAAACTCAATCAAACCCAAAATTGATTACTCTGAAGATCTGAAATTTAGGGATGAAGAGAGTGGTATAATTATTTTGAAGACCCAAAATCGACTACCTACTCTATAATCAAACCAACAGAAGGTCAAAAATGTGTTTCAGACAATCGAAATTGAAAATTGGGTGAGAAATCCTTTCGCCCCTTTTAGGTTGAAACCAAACAAGCAATCCAAAATCATGTTCATCAGGGGGCCACGAGGTCTCATCAGGGGGCCACGAGGTCTGAAGTCTGACGAACGTGAGCTTACCAGGTCTAAAGTCCAACAAGCAGATCTGAACTCTTGTTAATGATGAAACGTAAGAGATGGAGAGAAACGAAGGCGGCGACGAGCTTGGGTTTGCTGACAAAGATGGAGAGAAATCCTTTCGCCCCTTTTAGGTTGAAATCCAAATCGATGAAGATGACGACGTTGTGGGTAGGTGGAAATCGAAATCGAAATCGATGAAGATGATGGTGGTTTCAAGATGAACAGAACACAAGC